GAGGGCTTTGTAGAAATATTTGAAATGCCTGGGCCCCACCCCTAGAGTGTCTGACCTGAGGGGTTTGGTGTAGGCCCAGGAATCTGTACTTTTAAAGGACTCCCTAAAGGGCCGGAGCAGTGGCTCAGTGAAAGAGCACATGCCTAGCACGTGTGAGTCACTGGGTTTGGTCCTCGGCACCACATAAAAATTAATAAATAAAATAAAAGTATAGTGTCCATCCACAATATATATATATATAGAGCTGCCTGGGGGATTCCAACTGGAAGACAGGTGATGCTCACCTGGTCTGAGCTCTGCTGCTGCTGCTCAGTGTGGGGGCATCACCTGGGAGCTTGCTAGGAATGCTGATTCGAATCTGCATTCTGACAAGGTCCCCACATGATTCACCTGTACGCTAAAGGCCAAGAGCTGGTCAGCACGCTGCTGGCTGCTTGGTAGACATGCAGTCAATATCTGAATTCTGAGTGAGAGTTAAGACTTTGTCTAACAGCAAGTTTCCTGAAAACTAGTTTCTTTCTTTCTTTTGGGGTGGGGAGAGGATATAGGGCAGCTAAAGCAATTGGCTTCGTTTTTGACCAGTGATGTCTTTGGAAAATTTATAAATCACTCTTTTCCAGAGGTCTGAAGGCACGACCCAGGCCTCGAGGCCTTAGATGTTGGTTTTCATGGTCTGTTGAGACCAAGTGAGTCCCGTGTGCATAGAACATGAGATAGAAATAAGTGGCAGTGACTTTAAGTCCCTTGGGACCCATCTGAGCTTGGGCTGCTATACCAAAATGCCACAGCCTGGGTGGCTCGAACAGATACTTACTTCTCTTAGTTCTGGAGACTGGAAAGTCAAGATCAAGGTGCTAACGGACTTGGCGTCTGGTGAGGACTCTTTTCCTGGCCTGCAGTTAGTTGGCCGCCACCTTGCTGTGTGCCCACGCAGTAGAGAGAGAGCACAAGCTCTCTGGTCTCTCTTCTTATAAGGGCATTAATCCCACCCTGGGACCCCCACCTTCATGATCTCGTATAGCTCTACTCACCCCCAAATACGATCACATTGGGGGTCAGGGCTTGCATAATATTTGGGGGAATGCAAACATTTGGTCCACAGAAAGAACCAGTGAGTTTTTGTGCTGACCCTGGTGGCATATGTCCACAGTGGGCAGGCTGGGAGGGGAGTGCCACTGGAGTGTCCGAAGACAGCCAAGGTTGGAACTTGGTATGTCTCAACCGTGGCCCGCGTGGCAAGTGACACCAGGGGGCTCTGACAAATGCAGACGCCTTGGCCCTGCCCCAACACTGAAATCAGAAGCAGCCACAGATGCATTCCAAGGGCTGCTGTGGAAGCTTCTGGAAGCCATGCCCTTTCCATCTGGGTCGTCCATGGCAGGTTCTTGCTCGTCTCTCTACATCCTAAAGGCTTTCCCTGGTTACCACATCCCACGTCGCCTTCGCAGTCGCTGGCGGTCGAGAGCCATCTCGGCTCAGCTCCTTGCAAGCCCCAGTTCTGGATCATCTGCCTCT